TCGAAATCCCGGCTGGCTCAAAATCCCGATGTTCGAAATCCCGACGTTCGAAATCCCGGCTGGCTCAAAATGCCGACTATATCAAAGTCCCGACGTTCGAAATCCCGGCTGTATTGAAATCCCGACTATAACAAAATCCCGACGTTCGAAATCCCGGCTGGCTCAAAATCCCGACTATATCAAAATCCCGGCTGTATTGAAATCCCGGCTGGCTCAAAATCCCGACTATATCAAAATCCCGACGTTCGAAATCCCGGTTGTATCAAAATCCCGACGTTCAAAATCCCGAGTGTATCGAAATCCCGGCTGGCTCAAAATCCCGACTATATCAAAATCCCGACGTTGGAAATCCCGGCTGTATCAAAATCCCGAGTGTATCGAAATCCCGGCTGGCTCAAAATCCCGACGTTCGAAATACCGGCTGTATTGAAATCCCGACTATAACAAAATTCCGACGTTCGAAATCCCGGCTGGCTCAAAATTCCGACGTTCAAAATCCCGACTATGTTATAATCACCACTACCATAATCCCGACTATATCGAAATCCCGACAGTGTCTTTAGTTATTATAAATTTCTACAATAACATTTTTATGGTAGTCGGGATTTCAATATAGTCGGGATTTCACTAGACGGTCTTTCGGTTGTCGGGTTTGCGAAATAGACCCCTTCATACCATGATTTCAAAAAAAATAATTACCTTATTGTGTTGTCTAAACAATCTTAAAACAAACGCTTCTTGACAACTCTCCAAGATCCTGTGAGCTTGAAGGACAATGAAACCTGTGATCTTATCAATTGGAATTCGTTTTTTCAACATATCCACCACTAATATCCTTGTGGTTACAAAATGTATTCCTCCAGATAAATAGATGTCTTCTCTAAAGTAACAATAATTAGATTATTATAAGATTGATTGTAACTGTTTTACCTCTCTGTTGTACTGGTGGAAAAGGTAGTTGTGTGGACATTAGGATTATTAAGTTTTTCCACATAATATTTTTCTTCAAATTCTGTGCAATTAAGTACAATCACCAGGTTTCCAGGATCACAGTACACTTTGAATAGATTGATCAATACCAAATCCATGCTGAGACCCCTGAAATTATAACAATAATGGTATATTAATTGGATATTTCTTATATTGTGCAAACACTCACTTCGCAGTTACGACTAAACCGTCGTTGTGAACAATATCCAAGAACATCTGAGTTTCGTACTCGAGCATCGGTGTTAAATCTTTATCTTCGAGTCCTTCCATTTTCAATTGTTTTCAATGTGATTTTGTTTGTTTAAATTTCTAGGTTAAAGTTGTTTTGACGTTTGAAACGTAGTTTGAAAACAAAGTATGTGTAGGAATGGTAGGCGCCAATTGGATTAATCCAATTTGAATGAAAACTTTCAAAAGTTTACTTTTTTCCTTACAGTTAAATTATAATCAAACGTACATTAATTGTAATTATGAAATTAAGAACAAGAAGCAAACTTTAAAATCTTTGTAAATTAATTGAAGAAAATTTTTGTTTTTGTTTAACATTATAATATATTTGAACAAATTGAACTACGAACTTATTATATATTTAATTTAGGAAAGTTGTAAACGGACGAATCGATTATTGGAAGCAAATTTAGTACTTAAATAATTTTGTTTCAAAAAAAAAACTTTTGTAATTACAAGATTCTAATGATTGCATTGTGTAAATTAATAAAAGTAAAGTAATTATCTAATTACAATTAAAATATTCATGATTTTTGATACATTTTATCCTATTAGAGAAAAAAGTTTTCAAAAGTTTTATGGGTTTTAATTGAATAACTGCGACATCTGCTGTTTCATAATCTGAACCACATATATTTTTGTTTATTTTCTTTCTGACGTTTGTGACAACATTAGGTTATGTTTTTGTAAACAGTTTTCGTTTTTATTATGTGTCGTTTACGTTTTTTGTTTAATTTATCGATAGTTCTGACGATACTGGTGCTCCTCTTCTACCTCTTCACCATTTACGACAATGATAACAGTAAATCGCAGCTGCGGTTATTCAAAGCGGAGAATGTTGAGCCGATGGAGAAGGCGATCAAACTGGACAACGACTACAATTTGTGGCTGATCTTCACCAAAGTCATAGACAAATCCCCGCTGATGTACAACTTCAACAACCTGCTGAACAACCTCATGAACGTGAGCTCTGTCCCATTGAATTTCCACATCATCGTTGATGAGCACTCCAGAATTCTTGCCCAAAGCGAAATCAACAAAATCATCAACGCCACCAGTATTAATGTGCAATATACGTTCTACGATATACAGACTTTAGCTGCATCCATCCAGGACATTGTCAATGCCATGACTCCATTTTTCAGTTCCAGGCCAGGTAAAGATTAATAATTCTCTCTTATAGGATTAAGTAATATTAATTTTATTGTAGGAACGTATTATAGTGACGCTCTGTTTTATCTCTCTTTGGGTCTGCATCGCATTGCGAAAACCCAAAACAGAGCAATTATATTGGACTGTGATTTACATTTTAAGGAAGACGTATTGTTACTTTTTAAGGAATTTGATAAGTGAGATTACTTGCTAATTAATCCTAATTACGATACTGATTTGTTTTGTTTAATTTCAGTTTTGGTAATGGTACTTTATTTGGCTTGGCCCCTGAACTGTCTCCGGTGTACAGACACATTTTGTACAGTTTCAAGCAGAAGCATAACTCTACATTTGGGGACTTTTATCATGACAAGGAGGTGAAGGCGGGCGAACCTCATCCTAAGGGTTTCCAGGGATACAATTCTGGCGTGATCCTGTTTAATCTGAGTGCAATAAGAAAGAGCGAGGCTTATAGGGAAATTATCAAGAAGGAGAGTGTCAGCGCGATGGTGGAGAAATTCAAGTTCAGAGGACACCTCGGAGACCAAGATTTCTACACTCTTGTGGGATACGAGAGGCCGGAAATGATTCACACGCTCAATTGTGGATTCAATAGGCAGCTGTGCACTTGGTGGAGGGACAGGGGTGGCTACAATGACATTTTCAATGATTATTTTAAATGTAAGCATAAAATCGTTGTTTTACATGGGAATTGCAATACTCGAATACTTAAGTAAGCTTTACATACTATTGTATAAATATCATTTTATACTGTATTTTTTTTATATATATATATATAAATTTATATTTAGAGTTTTATAAAAATCCTTACAAGAATCTTGTATTATATACATATATCAATTGAATTTTTCAAATTATAACGAAATAAATATACAAATTATTCAAATGAAATCTATTTATTATCTTATCTTTTTCGTTATTTATTTAATGAAACAATGCATGAAAATAAATGCATTGTGTTGTGGATTGATAAAGAAAAGAAAAAACGTTTTCGTTTCGTATTTATTATTCAAACATTTAAAATACCTGAAGCATAATATAATAATCAGCGTTTACAAATCATGTAAAATTACATCCTTTCTTTGCTTTTTTTTTTCGTCGTCGTCGTTCTCTGCCAGATCAGTCGGAAATTCAATATATAAATGAAAACTAAAATCCATCTAATACAAATAATAGTAATATTTCGCGTTCCTAAATGTACACTAAATAAATTACGTTACGTAAAAATCAAACACATTTTTTTTTTAATTATAACTTTCTTATATATATATCACGACATTTCTCTCAGCTTAAAATAAGTATGCGTATGCGAAACAAAGAAAGAAAAAATAAAAGGGAATGAAAACTATTGCGATGTAAAATCGTAAATATTTAATTATTGTTTGAATATATATATATTTATATATCATATGTACAATGAAACAAATAAAAAATATCTCTCAAATCGCATCACAGAAAATTAAATAAATTATTATTTAGGATTGCGAACACGAGAATTGGCATAATATGTATATATATATATACTATTTCTTGTCTGCAATGTACTTTTTTTTTATATACAATCAATATATATGTCCGTCCATTATTCAGCAACCCGTTTTAGCTTCAATTAGATTTTCGTCTATTTTTGTTTGTAACATATATAGCAGTCTTATCATATATATATTGAGACGCCTCTTATGCTTTTAGTATGCATAGAAGATGACTGCTTCTCTGATCATCGTCCTAAAATTATAAATATATCGGTGAAGACAATTCACGAAATTACACTAAAATATATATATATGTCCCTTAAAGGAAAGGAAATGAACGTTATTAGTTCAATCGCAAATTATATTGTTGTGCAGATTTGAACATCTTTTGTACGCAAAAACCTTCCTGGACAGAATTTCCTTTCTTGTGGGCAGTGAAATTCAAATATATTATTTCTCGTTAAATATATATATATATAAATCCTCTTGTCTTTAAAAAATCTTTAAATATGTAAATATATATATAGTAAAAAATAATTAATAAACTGGAATTTTCTTGGATATTGTCTTTCGACACATGTGGCAAATCTTCAGGGTATCTGCGCAACGCGAACACGTGCCGTGTCCGCAAAGGAAGACAACGTTTCTCCTCCGTTCCATGCAGATGCTGCACGCCTGCAACTCTTCAAATTCAGCAACTTTCGTTTCCAGGTAACGCAACCTCTCGGCGCTAGGTTGTCGATGCTTGTACGGTATCAACCTACCGTCCATTGTTACGCGTCTTAGAACGGTGTCTCCGCAGTCGAAGCACTTCCTTATGCGAGAAGAGCACTCCTCGCAGGCTAGCCTATGGTTGCAGGGTTCCAACGTGACGTTCTGTACAGTGTAGTCGGAGCAGACAGAACATTCGGCGGCTTTGGGCTTGGTCTCGTTCTCGTACGAATGTTCGCTCTTGTGGCTCGGAGAGCCTTCGGAAGATGAACAGCCAACTTTTTCTTGTTTATTCTGTTCGGTTTTGCGACTTCTGCGCTTCGCGCATTCCACGTTTTTGCTTGGACTACTCCTAGCGTTTTCAGGTAGGTTGTAGCCTTCGATGGCACCGGCTGCCGCACCATCTTCCAAATGTAAGGTGTGCACATCGCCTATTATATTCTGCAACAGCTGGTTACTGTCGACGACGGGTTTATAGCTCTTCAAGAGTTCCTGCAGTTGAGAATCATGAAGTTGACTCAGAGCCGTTTGTCCTTTGGCGTTCAGCAGTTCCAAATCTATATCTTGCTGAATCAGGTAGCAGGCAATCGCTATGTATTGTCTGTTCGCGATGACGTACTCGGGTAAGGCTTGGAGAATCATGAATATGTCGGGACTCTGCTCCTGCCGGATCTCAGTGCATACCTGTGACATCCTCGTCAGTACGATATGCAAAGCAGTAAGTCCATCCTCATCTTTGGCATTAATATCGGCTTTCAGCTTGACGAGCAGCTCTATGATGCTGCTGTGTCCCTGGCTGACCGCTAAGAGGAGCGCGGATTGATTTCTGTTGTTCCTGAGGTCCGTGTCCGCGTGTCCATCCTTGACTAGAGTTTCTACGACGTCCTTGTGGCCGTTCAACGACGCTAAATGAAGTGCGGAAAAACCGTCGTCCTTCTTCACATCAACTAATTGTCTGGCCTGCGCCAGCAATTTCACAGTTGCGAAATTCTTACCTTTCAGCGCCGCGTGATGCAACACGTTGAATCCGCGCTTATTCCGAAGGGTGAAATCCATACCGGAAGCAGAGCACAGTTGTTCGATCACTTGGAAACTATCCTTACCAATAGCGTCGTGCAGGGCTGTATCGCCGTAACAATCTTTGCTGTTCGGATCTGCTCCTGCCGCCAAAAGGACCTGCACACATTTCGCTGGTTTCTTGTGTGCGGCAATGTGCAGAGCGGTGCATCCTCCTTTGTTCGGAGTATTCAGGTTGGCACCGGTGTTTATAAGTAATTTCAGGATCTCCGCCTGATTCCCGAATGCAGCATAATGGAGACACGTATCTCCATCGCTGTCCTGACAGTTAACATCTGCGCCCGCCTGTATTAATACCTTGGCTATTTCCAATTGGCCTTGATGCGAAGCCACCTGTAATGCCGTTTTACCACCGCTCTGCATGTCTACATAGGATATCTTTTGAAGCAGTTTGACGACGAGACCCAGATTACCCTGAGCCGCTCGAACGAGCTGATCTGCAATACTATTCCTTTCAGAACCATTCGACGGTTGCCATTGCACTGAAATTCATAACAATAAAATCCGAAATATATATATATGAATAATTAAAAGAAATTGTGAAAACTTACTCGAAGGTTCTTGTCTTTGGTTTTGTGTCGCTTGCATAGTGTTGGCCAATTCGGCGGCGCTCCCAGGAACGACTCTGACGCATTGTGGATTCAAAGTCCAAGCTTGACCATCCAGTTGCACCCTCAGATCTCCATCGTGATACAGCTTAATCACTTTCCCCAACTTGCCTATAGCCTGTAATCATATTCACAATAAATGCACGTCCATTCAAATAGGATTCAAACGAACATTCTTCATTATTTCGATCCATTCGCCGTGACCTTTCTGCAATTTTTTTACTTCATCTTCATCGCATATAACACTGACTATATCACCAACAGCGAAACTGTTAACCTTGCAGAGACTCTTTGGGTTGTACGTCCATCGATTGTTGCAACCCTCGTACTGAACTCGTATATCTCCCTTGTCTGTAACACGATGGACAGTGCCGACTTTGTCTATGAACTAGAAATAAGCAAAAGTTTTTTTTTTTTAATTCAATCGTCCTCTTAAATTCTTTTCAAACTTTACCTCTCCCATCTTGGGGTTCCAACCGCCGTGACCTTGCTGCATTTCCCTCAACTGCTCGATGTTGACTAATACCTGTACTTTATCTCCCACACTGAACGGTACTGGACCCAAGCGGACAGGCTTCACTTGCACTTGCTCAACAATATGTCCTTAAAATATGCAAATATAATAAATAGCAGGCAACCGAACGTGAAAATGTAATAATTAACCGCAAGTTTTCTAATTGCGATTTCATCAGCAATATGAATTATGTATTATTGTACATCAATATATGAAATCATAAAAAAAAAGAGGAGAACTTTCACTTTCGCTAAACTATAGTTTTCTCAAATGAAATTGTAAGGTAATTACCTAGAATAGGCAGGTGTTCAATGTAGTAACGCCCTCCACTTGCTGCTTCAACATATTTTATATCGCAATTTCCCTTGTGGCCCAATCTGTAAACATTTGTTGAACCATTCGCCCAAGTGACATTGGCCACTGATCTGCTGCTCTCATTATCCCAGCCTCTGATGTCCAACACTTTACCCACTTTTCCTGGTAAAATAATCAATAGTTTGGAAAACATTCTTCTTGTTGAAACTACATTTATTACCTTGACCACCATCTTGGTCTCCCCATTCCCAATTGAATCCCCTAACTACTTTGGCTCCTTCGAATATACCATACAGCTCACCTTGCATTGCATTTCTCCTCACAGGTAAATCAACCCTTCAAAGACACAAAAATAGAAATTACATTAAAAAAAAAACCACTATTGCTTATTACCCAGAGGATGTGGCACTATCAAACCTCTTGAATGGATGATTCAAATTATGCATATTGCCATGATAGCACATATAGCAAAGGTCATAGTCAAAGCATGTGATGCATTTAAATCTCATCCCTGAAATACCTTGACTGTTGCAACCATCACAGGCTATGTTCTGCTGTTTAACACCGGCCTGTGCATTGTCTATTACCCTCAGATCAAACTTGTTTGTGTATCCAACTCTGTAGTTTGTCCTGGTGCCATTGTCCCATTGCACCACCACAGTTTTATCAGGGGATCCCACCGTGCCGGACTTCCCAACTTCACACACTGTTCCCACATAACCTTCACCACCATCTGAAACACAAACAATGCAGTGCACTCGTTATATAAACATACGTTTAAAAATAAACCGCAGTTACCTTGATCACCCCAAGTCCAATCAGGACCTCTTACAATCCTTATTCCAGTCGAGAGCATTATCCTTATCCGAGGAAGATCCTGTTCAGTCGGGGGGAAATTACGCTTTTTTCCTAGCTACTTAATCAGTTCAGAGTTTAAAGTGCGCACTTTCAGCAAGATCACGAACTCACATAATAATTGCATTTATTTCTTCGATTATCAACAATCGCAGTTCTGTAGTAAGTTCAGAGCAATAAACGAAACTACGTCTCTGCTTTCGACCACTGCATTCGATAAGCCCAGCCAACTTGTTTTGTTGTTTGCTAGCTGACATCCATCGCAACTGATTTCATTTTGACGGATAACACCAATAAAACTTATGGATGCAAGTGTACCAACCTCTACCAACTATCTAAATCAGAGGTTCCCAAACTTTTTTGTGTCGTATACCACTTGCCATGTTTTTCGGTTTTGGGTAGACCTGATATTGATTTTCTGTAAATTTATTATTTATATTGGGACATCTTTATAATTATTAAGATCTTTGCTCTGAGACTGCGCGTATTCTTGAAACAAGATGATACTGGTATATCATTATGTGCAGATTTTTACAAGTTCAAAATGTATTGCGACCACAAAGCGAATGCCTACATCCTACAACTTACACAATTTTATAAATGTTTTACTTCATAGGTACTTTTATAAATAATGTATATGTCTTTATATTATAAGATAGTATAATGCAAATAAATAAATAAATTATATCACAATCATATTGGAATTACTTAATTTTTGTGAAAGTTATACAAAAGGAAAACAGGACGTAGCTAAATGGTAGAGGTTCTTCCTAAAGGGAAGAAGCAGGAGAAAGAAAAAAAAAAGTTTACTTAAAGTTAGTTATAACTTATTTAGATTTCTATTAAATACTAAAATCTTAGCTATAAGTAATTTTTAAATATATAGTAAATATTCTTATGATTCTCATATATTATTACAAGTTGTTAAGATAAGATTGGTATGTGGTATTTCCAGATACTCGACTTCGATTACGGTATTATTTTGTTGGTGGACAATGAGGTCTTTCACATTGAGAAAGAGCACTCAAATCTTTAAATGATTAATGTAGAATATTTCTTTTTTTTTCATTATGAAAGACTATTAATTTTTGTTTGCTTTTAGATAAAGGTATTAAAATGAAAACAAAGAAACTATTTCGTTCAATTCATTTATTTCTGGCATAACATTTCATTTCTTTTTTTTTTGTGGAAATAAAAAATAAATTAGGATATATTATCAGTCTGAGTCATACATGCGAACAACAATTTGCTTTCCATTCCGAATCCTTACATTGATAATAATAATAATAAAAAATAATAATAATAACATATCTAAACTAAAGTTGACGATCGCAAAAGTAAAGACAAGTTTAAAATTAAATTCGCTCCATTTTAATCTAATACTGTTACGTGTTTTCCATGTCGTTCGTGTCTTTTATTTATGCTTCATTTACAAATAGAACTTTGCGTTTGCTTCAAAATGAAACAGATTGAAAATAATAATAATTCGTATGAAATAAAAGTCATATTATGTCTTTAAATCTGCTTCATTCTCATGGTTAAATCAGTAGAATAGAGGGCAAAAACAGTAATAAAGAAACAGAGAACGGAACACAGTCGCACTCACACCATTTAAATATATTAATTGTTTCAATCTTTCTCGTCTTAAAATATAAAAGTTCTCTTTCTTCTATATACAAACATTATCTACAACTCTTTTAAAAACTTAAATCAAAGAAATAATTATAATAATAATAATAATAAAAATAAAAGAAATCTATCTACTATACAATTTAGCGTTTTCTTTTTTTATTTTCTTTTTTAAATTCATGTTTCGTTATTTTCATTCTTTGTTAAAATCTAGGATCACAAAAGTGTAACTCGAACTCAGTTGAAAGTAATGTTGTACGTCTGCAAAGCCATGGTGCTGATGTTGATGTCGGAGAAGTCTTTGATGGAATCGCCCGTCGTTTCCGTTCCCGTCAGAGTCGTCGGGGTGATCGACTTGACCCGAACCATGTTGAAGTTGGCGCCCGATTTCAGGCTGCTCACTTGGCACGTGTAATTATGGTTCACCGAACACATGTAGCCCTGCCTGTGCATGACCAGAAGGGCACTGTTCGAGGGGAATTGAGTGTAAACGGGATCCGGCTGCGTCCTTAGTGTGACCAAGTGGAAGTCGCACGGAAACTCGGCGTTGATCAAATTGATCACGTCCTCACGGATCTCGATGCCCTCCTCCAGGATGAACGCGCTGAACGGATAGTTCAGATTGTTCGATTGGTGATTGGCAAACAGAGATGGTCTTGAGTAGGATTCGATCTTCATCGGTTCGTTGCCGTTGAAGGTGCGCAGAGTATCACCGTACTCGGTGTTCTCGAAACGGGTGTTTTCCTTCTTCAGTTTCGACGGTGAGACGTCTTCGAGGAGCATCCAGAATTTATGCGTGGTCTTTCTGTTGTCCACAACGCCCTCGCCCATTCCTCGGGAGTCGTCGTAAAGCGTCCTCCTGTCCAGCATCACCTCGAGGAATCCGGGCTGCCAGCTGGCCGCACCTTGAGCATGGTTGGTCAGCAGCGAGATTCTCATGGCATCGTCTTGAATGTAGGCCATCGTCGTAATTGGAAAATAGTTTCCTTCGATGCCGATCTTCTCGACTTTGGTGCGCTTCTGCATCGAAAAACCATTCGAATCCGTGTAAAACTCTGGCGGTTCTCCGTTCTGTATTTCAGTCACCAAACGCATGAACAACTCCGTCTCCCTGTTCTTAGGCGGATTCTCAAAGTCGACCACGTTCTCCACGTAAATGCCGTCGGAGATGGGTGAATCCAAGTGATAAATACGGACCGTGTGAGTGAGGAACGGACCGTAGATCACAGTTATTTCGCTAGAAACCGAACCTGAAGTTATGATGATGCTCAGCTGGTCTTTGTACTGTTGCAAGACATCCTTCTCGATTTCCCTTTCGTTGGGGTCCGGCATGAAGAGATACGCGCCGGAGTGGAATTGGGCGCTCCTGTAAGCGGCAAATTGAATTGCGCATTGCGTCGTCTTCCTCGTCGCCTTTCGCGTTATGCTCTTCATGAAGCCGGTGTTTCCGTTAAATAAGATACGGAATTTTTGATTTTCTAATTGTACATCCCCGGTTTGGGTATTTTTGATTATGAATTTGCTGCTCTGGAAGTTCTCGTCATTCGGTTTACGGTGGCAACGATTGCAGTAGATCATCGCCAATTGATCTTCCGAAACTTTGTACGTTATGTTGTAAGTAGCTATAGAGAGCGGTGGTAGAGATGCTACAAAGACTAGCTCGTACTCGTCCGGCGATATGAACAGTCTGTTGTCGGTGTAATTCCAAACTGGGTTTATTTGTATCTGGATCTCTTCGTTGTTGCTGTTCAGCACCCTCACGTCTGGGCTGTTGACCCTCAACTGGATGTATTGATCCTGTCTCTCCGTCTGCGAATTAAATAGAATTATTTTCCTCGACTTTCCCGTCTCCAAAACTATTATCGTCTTCTTCGGGAGCTTCTCGTAAGAGTCCCGCTCCAAATCGCTGAGCACCACGTTTCTTTCTGATTTGATCGGATTCGTCAGCATCAGACTTTGCAGCGCGTTCTGCTGGATCTTGACGGTGTCCCTTAAACTCTCGAACAGTTTCAGACCGTAGTCGCGCATCACGAAGGATTTGCTGGTGCCAGTTATGGCGTCGTGATGTTGGAATAGACCCAAATTCCTTCTGGCCATCACCAATTTCTCGTAATCTCTTTCGAGGATCTTGAGGTACGGTAAAATATTCTTCTGGCGCGCACTGTTTATTGCTATTGTGTAAAGGATCTCCGAAGCCCTCAGGCTGTTCTCCAATTCTCTGTCGAGGATTTTCATGAAGGGCCTAGTCGTAAAGTATCCGGACCAGTAGGCCGGTCTGCCCTCCGAGAATATGTCCGAGTAGACGAAGAAGTCTCCACGGAGAGTGGGGAACTGATCGTAGCGCTCCAAGATGGCATCGAAGTAGTCCTTAGGCGTTCCGAACACGATTTCCGTTTTGTACGTCTCTTTGTTGGCGTTCACGTAGTTGACCAGTTTCATGTAATTTGTGTACTGCTGGTCCCATTCCTCAGCGACGTTGTATCTGAAGTCATCCCCCAGAGGCATCAGGACGACGTTGTGCGGGAACAGAGAACCGGTCCTCGAGTACTGCTCCAGCAGTAGCTCGCTCTTCTCCTTCACGTTCTTCTCGGTGATCGCTTGCGCCTTAACAGAATACTCCGTGTATTCGCCGGGCACCTTACGGAAATCAAAGTTCAGGCAGACGTACGGATGAGGACCGCAGCTGTGCTTTATCGAGTATATGTCGAAGGGTTGATTGTGGGTGAGGATCGTTCCGCTGTTTCCGCCCCAATTTGGCACCCACTTGAAGTCGCCGTACTGCTTCAGCGCCAGCCACTGCTTCCACGCGTAATGGATCCGTTGGATGATGGTGCCTTTGACACCGGATGCTGCCAGCAGGTAGGGCTGAGTGCTTCCGTGACCGAACGGGTCAATGGACCATCCGGATCTCGGCTTTATGCCAAGATTCGTGAGCACCCATTGATGCCCTTCGATCAGCTGATCGATCATCGCGTACATATGGGCATTCGCCTCATCGGTCATCACCCATCCACCGGTTGTGATCTCAAGACGTCCCGAATTGACCAACGCCTTCAGCGCCCGCTGTTTGCTGGGGTGCGCCACCTCCCACCAGGCGTTCAAGAACGCTATCTCCGACCAGATAAACGTTAGATTCTTGTGCTGCTGCAGCTTCATCACCATGTTGTTCATGATGGGTCGGGACTGATAATGGAAGTAGTTCTCGAAGGTCTTCAGCCAGCCCGGATCGTTATGCGAATGAGGCACTATTATCACCTAAGAGGGCAAAAGAAAGAACAATATAAAATAAAAGAATACAAAATCTCAACTAGCGTTAGAGAAACTTTTTGATAGGGGAGGAAGGGATTTAGGGTATATCTATTTACTTTTAACGGCGGACGTTCGGGATCCATTTTCTGGCGCTCGAACCGGTCTTCGAACGGCTTATCCCAGTATTCCTTCATTTTCATCCACGTCGGCTGTAAAATAACAGAAATAAAAAAGAACTTTTACAATCACCGTACATCACAGCATTATCATGAAAATAACTTTACAGGGCAAAACAAACCAATTAATTAAAATATTTACAAAACATATCGATTTCGTTATAATGGGAAATGCAACTAACGACTAAATTTTAGTTAATATTATCCAAGTTACAAATCCTATTAAAACAATTGCATTCAACATATTACATTTGTTTTTAAAGCAAACACAACTGATTTTTCCATGATATTAAATAACAAAAAAAATATAATAATTTTTCCATGACTCAACTAAGCTACGGAAAATCGCTCATCCTAAATAACATTACATAACGGTCATGACATTGTTCTGAACACAAAGAACTTAGTATATCTGCACGACTTCAATGTATTTGAGAACGTACGAGCATAATCTAACTTAAAGCAAAATACAAAACCTAAATCATTATAATTTTTTTTATATCATATTTGTTTTACGTGTAAAAAAACGATGAAGAAACATAAATTATGTAATAACTGCAATTCTAATTAAAATTATAGATTCTGGAAACTAACTTCCAATATTTTGCAATTCAATTGGTTCTTGCACAATATTATGTTTATTACAATAAACAAACAACTTTGTTGCGGTTGATGTGAATCTAAGTTGAATGCTTGGGGAAATCCGTAGGTGATTAACATCAAATGACGAACATTATGTTTGAATCGACTTAAATGCAATTAGACAATATTAATTGAGAAACGCGCGCCGTAACGGATTTAACGCTTCGTCAATTAAATTTCTAAACTGAAGTGAATCAAATGGGAAAAGAAAGAGTAACGTAATTAAAATATTCGTATTTAGATGCACGAAGATGAAATCTTGGAAAGTCCTCGTCTTTAATGGGCATTGCTCGAATGCATAACCATGAACAGCGAGAGAATAAGAATAAGGGAGAGAATCAAGACTGCTTCTAATTTGATAATATAAAGTCATCAAGGTTGCTCTGCATCGGTGATTCGAAAACAATGTTTTCGCTTGTTTCTCGTCCACAGCCAATCTCGATAAATGGAATAAAAGCATCGGACCACAACGAAGTTTGTTGTTTTATTCTTTTCTTTTTTGTTCGAAATTGATATTGATGAATATATCAGTGGGGGTGGGTTTTGCGAAGGCGGCAGAAGTGATCATAAATCAGAGCGTTTTGAATTCGGATCGTTGTGGGGAATCTCGAGGGGGGCGAAGCAGGACGATTACCATTTTTTGATTTATTTAAGTCGCATGTAATTAGAATAAATTACAGGGTAGGGTCTCATATTTTAAACATACCCAGGTTCGCGTTTCCCTTTTTCTCAATTTCTTCACTCTTTTTTTTCTTCTGTTCGCTTCTTTTCTTCATTCCTGTTTTTTTTTGTTTTAATTTATACACCCTTGCAGAACGCGGAGAGTGCTCGTAAAACATAGGCGCGGCTTTAAAGTGCAAATTGGGCCGTGCATGTAAGGGTGTAAAGGGCAAAAGTGGAGAGAGAATATGTTTCTCACCTGGAATTCGAAGTCCTTGAAGACGTCGACGGTATTGACGTCGACCTCGGCCGGTGCCAGAGTCGGGCACGTCTCGAACTGCCTGCTCGTCTTCCTCTTCGAACCGTCCTCCGATCTGGACTCTTCCTTGCCAACACCTTCGCCGACGAGGGCGGCCGCCTCCTGCGATCTCGCATCCAACCTAGACTCGTTGGAGTTGCTCGCATAGTAGATACAAAGAAGCACCGTCAGGAAGATCGCGCTGAGCGCGAAAGCTTTCGGCGATATCCTTCTGAATGCCTTCACTGCCATGTTTCCTTTTTGATTTTCAGCTCTTCCCGACAAACTCGATTCCAGCTAAACTATCAGGTATATCACGTTCTTAAAGTATTGATTTCAAACGGTGCCTGGTCCACTGCATTATCTGTAAACAAAAGAAATAAGAACGTTTAGAAAAATAGGCGGTATGAAAGATATGAAGAGGGTTAAAACATCTCGGCACGGCGGAGCCCGATCCTGCGACTCGGACCAATTAACGTGCGCGTTTTTTTACGCGCTTTATTTACTTAATTGGCTACCTGGAATTACTCTAATTAACGAATTCGCCGACATGCGGTGACATCAAAACCACCGACAATTACCCAACGAAAGATCAAGGCGAAAAAATAGTCCAATGCGTACTCGAACGTAATTCGAACAATGCTGTACCTCTCTCTCTCTCACTCTGCGCAAAATTCAAAGAACAAGCAAAATTGTCAAGACATTTTCCGAGTATAGACACACACAAATGTGTACGCATCTAAAGAAACGAAACTTGCAGATAGTTATTTTTTAATTAATTTATTCCTGCATCTAAAATTCTCTTAATCATTCGATAATTAATCTATTATTAAAGAAAACTATGAAAAAGAGTATTTAGTTTGTAAACATGCAACAATTTTATTGAAAAATTGATCTAATTGAATCATTTATGAAAATTTATTAAGTTGACTTGAATTTTGATTTAAAATTTAAGCAAATCGGTTACAATTAAAACTATATCTCTATACATATTAAAATTGATGTGATTATGTAGATTCAGTCCAAAATTATTCAAGAAAAGATCAGATTGGATTCGATTCTGCTGAACAGAATTTGCATATCGATATTTCGTGGGAAACGCAGTGTAACAGGGAAGGATATACGCAATGTATTTCATTTTATGGAAATCCATATGATTGCAGCGTGTAATTTAATGAGCATATCTGCATGTAAATAGTGCAGATCATGTGCATATCTATATGTGCAAAAGTGAGAGAATGGTAGAGAGACATGAGAGAGGATCAATTGGTCGGTGCGTTGTTTGAGTTGGTCGGTGGCCGACGGTTCTGTACGTGTTGGAGCAGTTGTCGCCAGCACACAACCAGTTCGCGAACAACTGCAAAATGCCGGCAGAGTAGAGGAATAATATTGTGCAAATAACCGCACTCCTCTAGTCTGTTTAACTGGTCACCTCTTCTCCACTAGCACAATTGCTCCATCTAACTGTAACTAATAATTAATGGAATACTGAATTTTTAGCCATAGAAACTAGACACATCGATTTAGTGGAGAACATTCGACACAACACAACCGTTATTATTACAATTATTATTGTTAATATAGTGTCTCTTAGTCGCCATAATAAATATATACATCAGCATAAAGGTAGCCTTCATCGAGACCAGCTACTGAAAGAACATCGCTCATATTTTCATCCAGACGCAGAATTGGCAAAATTCGTATAAGAGCAGTCTTATAAAAATCGTGCTTACTCCTCAAACTCCCACCCCTTGCTTAGTTAACTTAGTAAGGATTTGTAATTAGTCTTAGGAAGAGCGCTAAAGAATCAACTATTGGGTGAAGAACCACAATAAAGCAAACACTTTGAAGAATATTTTAATAATAAACCGAAAGTAAAAGTCGTTCAATTCATTATTTACCAAACCTAAGGCTCCACAACAGACAACAGAAGAAGATATCCCACAGTGTCTAGAAAACCATCCCTGGGACACGACAATTCTTTTGTCAATTCAATAATAACCAATTTCGAATGCTGATCATTCCCAAATACAGAACACATTGTAATTAACATCGAAACGTAACGAACAATAGATTTAACAAATTATCATTAAAATTGTAACGAAAACTATTCTGTTTTTTTTTTTGTCTTTTGAAAATGTTAGGAATTGTTATCAAAAATTGTATTATTTTCCTTGGATTGGAGCGAAAATTGCTCAATTACTGTTATTGAACTTATTAAAAAAAAAACTGTTCCTAGAAGAACGTGTACTTTATTATAACTAGAACGAAAACTGTTCTATTTTTATAGAAATTGGTTTGCTTTTTCGATTCTTTCTAAAATTATTAATAACATATTTTGTATTCTGGTCTAAAATTACATTTCCTATCTCTAATGTAGAAACATTTTCATTGTTTATTTGTAATTTTTCCCTTACATATCTTGTATTTCTCTAAAAAATCTTTTCAAAAATTAAAATTTATATTACTTTTATTATAGTTCATTCATTTTCTTTAGATTTAAACATTTTCATTATTTTACTGTAATTTTATAAAATCTTTTATTTATTTTGGATGAAATGTGTTCAAAATATGAACATTTCTTAATATTTAACATTGATTGATTAATTTGATTTTTCTCAAAATATCAATTTTTCACCTGAGATCTTTATTGAATGATACAATTAGTAGTAGTAGTTTCCTTGAGCCAAGAAACAAATTGATTTATTAACGTTTTCATCGCGCACTTCGCCAAATCGAATGATCTTAATCATCATCCGTGCTCCTCTTTCCTTCTTCTCCGTGTATGAAACGGTTAATTCAATTGGATCTTCCTGTCCGATTTATTTACGGCTTTTATCGGTGCTACGTGATGTTACGCAGTGCTTCTTTCTAAACCATAAATTTTCCTACAATCGAATAACATTTATTTAAATGAAATACCTTTCAAATGTATTCTAATAATCTATTGAAATTTTATCAAAGTATCTTTTTTGTTTCCTTGTAATTACTTAGTAATTAAACAAATAATTAATGATGTAATCTGTGAACATTCCACGATATTGTAAATAGATATAGAATGTATTATAAATGTGTGAGAAACAAGTTGAAAAGCCTGTGCGATAATCTTACGATCAAGAAAATTGGTGTTCTGTGCATTCGTGGGATTTCTTTTAAAAATATGTTGCATGTTGACCATCGTTATTGGATTATTCGTTGCGCAATTCTTAAGACACGTGTATAACTACGTCTCCACTTTTTTCTTCCTTTTGTATTCTTTCTGCTTTCCTTTCGGATGGCCGAATGGGAATTCCGAATTGCAGGAAACTAGAGAAATCGGGGGAGCCCGAATTTAATGCAATGAAAATAAAAAGTGGAGTGGAGTGGAGACGACGCAGGAGAAACGCGAGATGATCCTCGTCCTCCCAAGAGCTTATCCAAACCTATCCCTCCGCGCGCGTCATTTCTTTGAAACGAAAATACATTTCGATTCTATATAATTTCTGCGCAAACAAACTTGCCGTTCACGTTCCATCTTATCCGAGAAACGGGCATTCGAGGAGAAAAAGTAAAAGAAGCAAGAAATGCGGATGTGTATTCGTTTGAGATTGGAGGAGGAAACGGATGAATCCGCATTCCCAAATTTACTTCCGTGTATTTAAATTAAAATTAGGAAAGGAATTTTTTTTAGTTATTTCCTTTGATTGCCTCTTTTTTTTTATTATTAATTTATTTACATTTACCGGTTAAAGTGAGATGAAAGAGCGCTAAATTTAAATCGTTTACAATAAGCTGCAGAACAAGTAATGAAACCGAAGTTGATAATATCGAAGTTCGTTTTCTTATTTTGCTATTCAATCAAGTTAACGACGTCCGAGATGACGAATGAAGAGCGCGTAGCTTAATTGGATTTTTAATCCCGCTTAATTATGAATCGGGCAAATCTGTGCACGCGGCGGCTGCGGGGGTGGCCTATTGATTTCGAATTAGATCGGATGAGGCGGCTGCAACGACGGAAGTGGATGAGGAGGAGAAGGAAGAGAGGTCGTTTTCATTAAAGCCTTCTATCGGTAGGATTCTTTAATCGGTAATCCCTGCATAAACGAACGTTAACTAATGGTTTGTCTGTAATTTGGGCTGCCTAATCGTGATCTAATCCTATCCGCAATTAACATAATTCCGAGCGCTTTTAATTAAATGCTCGTTTTCAAACATTTTATGTTCTTTTCGTTTGTTTAGGTTTTCCTGTTGAACCGGAAACATCGGTTCTCGTAACCAGGAGGAAACACAAATTATATTACGCTCGGGAATAGCAGCGTTTTCAGTGAAAATCCTTCTAATTTATTACCAATTACGCTTTTAACGCTCATCCTCCTATTACGTAACGAATTGTGCATTCCGTAAGTAAAAAGGTATTCAATAGAATGTACACAGACACACAAAAAATAAACATAAAATACACAAATCCCAATTACTTACAAAACTATAGTTTTATATAAAACTGTACAAAAGTTACAATTTAACATTGATCTAATCATTTCAAACTTAAATTTTTATTTATTTTTCATAAATATTGAAATCATGGAACAAATTCGATATTGAAATTAGTTCTGACAGCTGACGGGTGTCTAGATTTAAATAAATTTAATAAATTCAGATTTATTAGTATAATTTTCTTAGATAATCAAGTGGATTCATAATAATTTAACAATCCGCAATAAAGAATTGTGTAAAAACTGTTAATTCTTCATATTTAAGTCATAAAAAAGTACTAAATTGGATTGGATTAAGTTTTGAATTTACTTTTGGAACAACTTGTTTTTTCATAATTGTTTGCCTTTGAAGTTTTTCTGTAGTCATTACTTTTGACAGCTACCAACTTGATTTAAATAAATTTCATAATCAAGTGGATTAACAAAAATTTGACAATCTCCAGTAAACGATTATGTAAAATCAGACAACTTTTCATATTTAAATCTTGAAAAAGCACAAAATTGGATTGGATTAAGTTTTAAATTTACACTTTTGAAAGTTACCCAATAGATTTAGAGGATTGTTTTTCATAATTGTTTATTATGTTTCTCTGTTTTAAGTAGGCATGTGGATTAAAGAAAAGAATTACTTTTGACAGCTACTTACTAGAATTAATTAAATTTCATAAATATCGATTTATTATTATATTTTTTTTAGATAATCAAGTGTATTAAGAATAATTTGATAATCCGCAATAAAAAATTGTGTTAAAACTCTCAATTTTACATATTTAAATCTTGAAGAAGGACAAAATTGGAATGTATTAAGTTTTGAGTTTACTTATTAGACAAATTTTGAAATATTAAATTTTTTTTCCTACAAATTTGTCTATTATGTTTATATGTCTTGAGT